CGCCGAGGTATATGCTTCATGTGCAGAACAGAAGGAAAAAGGTGAAAAGAAGCATGAAGGAGAGGAGGAGGGCGTGTGTTTTGCTAGGCAAATATTTATGGCCATTTAAGAGACACTCTTGACCTGTCGCTTGTTGGGTAAGTTTTGTAAAAAATGTGTTATGGCTAATAGAAGTGGTGAGAGGATTTAATAGGGTGACAAGAATTTAGGAGGGTTAGATGAAAGTGTTTGGATGCTTAACTATGACAATTAGTACTTTCAGTTAATTCGATAATTGACTTATAGTGCTAACTTTTGAGATTGGCGTAATTAGTATGATTGGTTTAGCAAAAAGAAGGTTAAGGATTTGGATAGCACTACATTTAACCTTTCTAAGTATAGAAGGGTTAAGGTAACCAAATAACTTATTATATCTATTAAGGAGTTTACTATTTATAAGTAAATGCCAATATGATTTATGATTGTACTTATATTATGCTTGAAAATTGCATGTTTTAGTGTGTTTTTAGCATCAAAAGCATTGGATTATAAAATGAAATAATTTTTAAAAATAGTTCCTTAAAGTAAAATATTGTATAGAAGTGTGTGTAATAAGGAATTGAAAAGTATGGCATAATTATTAAGGGGTAGGAGTTCAGCCTAAGTATATAGAGATGTGAATGAAAACAAAATTCATATGGTTAGGTTGGCACTATGGGACATCTAGTGTAGCAATATATTTGAGACTATTATCATGAGACATTTGGGTAGCCTGGCAACTCCCTATTACCTATTAGGATATGGTTAGTAGTCAATAATACCCTTATTGTGTGTGTGAAAAGGGGAAACTCATAGTCCTAAAGTGAAACGTAATACCTTTGGTCCGGTGTTTCTATCATTGAACATGTGCTTGGATTAATGAGTATATGGTTGATCCTATAGAGCTTATAAGTTCAATCAGGGAGCATGAAAGTTTGGTGGATAGATGATCATATGAATGTGTGATTGATTTTACAAAAATTGTTATAAGTTTACACACACACATGTACACATGCAAAAATAATATTTGTGAAAGTGTTGTAATCATTTTATTTGTTTAAAGTTATTCCTATTAATATTCATATATGAGTTATCTTAATTACTAAGATATTTATCTCACTCATGGTTACTATTTTTACAAATTATGACATTCCAGGCAACAAAGGGAAAGAATCGGGCTAAGAGTAGTGGACCTACTAATAGCCCGTTAAACTTGGTGAAATGAACTAAATTATTATATTTGATATGATATGATTGATATATTTATACATGTATGTATAAGTTATCGTAGGATTTCATATGCATTTATGTGTTTAAGTGTGTAACTTAGCCCTGATGTGTGTATTTGTGTGATGTGTGGTAGTTTTTGTAAACGATGGCTAAGATATGGTGTCAAGTACATGTGTGTATGTTTTGACATGAAAATGTGTGGAGTTTCTCTAAGCATACATAAATGTGGGTGGATATGTGATTTTGCCCAAGTGTGTGTGTTTGAGGGCAACTTCTTGGCCAAACTTTTATATATGTGTGATATTGATGATATGAATGCTTAGTTAGATGTTAAATGTTTCGTTAGATGTGGTTAGGACCTTAAAAGTGGCTAATGACATGTGGTTTGAATTTAAGATGCTTGAGTGAGTGAAAGTAACTTAAAATGATCATTTTGCATATAAGTATCAAATTTTCAAGTGAAGTATCAGATTTTAATGAAACCAGTGTCATTAGTTAGATTTTAAAATAAGCTTCATGTTAGTTTTGAATCACCCTAATCGGACATTATATGCAAAAACAACGCACGTCAAAAGTTCATATCAAAAGTGTTATTTGACAGCAAAATATGATACGTGCACCGTGATGCATGTCATAGAATGTGAACTTTTGACTCTATACCATATGTCATGGCACATGGCTCAATTTGCTTAATTTTAATGGTTTGACTTGTCTTCTACTGTGTATGCAATCTATATGCTTTTGCTGGACATATAGGAGAATTTTAAACAATGTAAAGGTTTTCTAAAAAGTTTTATGTGAAATCCCAATCCTTTATGGTTTTCAATTTTAAACATAGGTGTAAATGTATTAAAATTGTATGTTGTACTATAATGTCATAAGAGGCATTACAAATATCTCACTTATTATACAAGATGTCTAATGTTTTTAAAAAAAGTATAGGAAAAAATACATTCTGATCCTAAATTAAAAGCAAATTCCCCTTTTCCTTTCTTTTCTTGTTAAATCAAAACTAGCTAGGACAAATATCTATTAATCTCTTATATATTATCCATCTACTGTCAAATAAATTTCGTAGAAAGCCGATCGATTTGACTAATTTAGCTTTTGAATATATAGTGTTATTATGATTTGATATATTTAACTTATATTGAACTCCATGCATGTTTTATCACTTTGGGGGATAATTTAAAGGGCATGCCATTTAAAAAGGAGAAAAAAAAAAAAGCAAAGTGAATCATAAGCAATGTTGCATGTAGCCGATGGTGGTGGAATCACGAGTGCAAGACAATTTAATTTAAAAATAAATAATTTTTTAAAATAATAATTTAATAATTAAAAAATGATTACTCTATGACTAAAATTCATGAGTAGAGTGATCATATATTTTTTTTGAAATTATATTGAATAAGTTAATATGATATTTTATATAAATATGCTCTTCATATTTTATCTTGAAGTAATCAAAATATTATATAATATTTAATTAATTAGCTTTTAAGCCCAAATATTTTTTATGTAATCTAGAGGGTGCAAAATATAAAAAGTAAAAGGTGCAAAGTTACACAATTTACACACCTCACTTGTAATTTTTTTTTTCCAAAATAAAGGGTTGTATTTGGATACCCCTCACTCTAAGGTGTCCTAAATGTAAGAGTTAAGATAACTAACGCATAGAGGTTAAGAAAGTTAATTAACTAAATTAATTATTTGTAAAAAATCTATGCTGATTTTCTTAAAATATTCCCTTTAACCATATGCATTTACTGCTCTCAAATCTGAATGATGGAAACCTGGTCCTTTAATATGTGCAATTAATAGGAATACTTTAAAAAATTATAAATTTAGAGGACAAAGTTAATTAACAGCTTACATTGAGGACCAAAGAGAATTCTTAAACTAATAGCTCCTACATTTAGGATAGGAGGAGTATTTTATTTTTGGATGAAGTGATAAAAATGCTTATAAAATTGTCCGCCAGAAGTATCAAGTATTCTAAAATAAGGAAATGTACTGTGTGCGCCCCCGTAATGTTATTTAAGTTGGTAAAAAATGACAAATTTTTGAAATGACAATGTCTGTTAATTTGCCTCACAATTCATGCCTGGTGGCTTTTATCCATCTGCCACGTTGCCACCTCTTTCCACCTCATTTAATGCTGCTGCTACCATCGGAGAGGGAAGAAGCAGAAAGGGCAACGGAGTGCATATGGGCAACATTGCTGCTCGACGAGAGAAGAAGAAGAAATCCAATGGCAGAACAAGGGAAGAGGAAGAAGTAGAACAAGACGGCAGCAATCCCTTCTCCAATAACCGCCCAGCCATGGATCTGCTTTTCTTCCCACACCATGTCGTCCCTCAGCCACTCTCTTTCTCCAATCTTCTCCTCTTCAAGCCCAACACTCGCCTTCCTACTCTCCTCTTCAAACCTATAGAACCTATTCTTCCATTACAACTCGTCTCTCTCGGATCTCCTTCAGTGGCGCCGCCCGCTACAACTCGTATTCCTTTGGAATCTCCATATGCTTCGTACAAGGATTATATGGCAAGGCTTATGCACCAAAGCCTCTTGCAGGACTATTAAGAGCTTTTAATGGCAAATATTTCACCCAGATTTTGAATATTTGAAAATTTCTTGAGGGTTTCGTTAGATTTGGTGGTTTCTTTCGGTCAAATCTTTGTGGATTTTGATGATTCTGTCTGTATTCTGTCTGTCTACCAGAAAATCGAGGATTTGTTAGAGATAAAGCTGTGTGAATCTTTTGTTCTAATTTTCGTGATTGGATTTTTTTTTTCTCCCGGAGGAGTTACTTATCTGTAATCTCTTGAAACAACAAATTATGTTTTGATCTAGTGGAATTAGGTTGGAAAAATTTATTTGTTTTAAAAAATTTTAGTCTTATTACTCCCAAATTTAATTAAGAGATCTGGGCAAATCTTCTAGTCTCATTATCTGCAGAATCCATTGACATAAAACAATGGAGTCTGGAGACTATGTGACTAAGCAATTTTCAATCTACAAGGATTAGCCATGTCATCTTTTGGTTTCCATGCCAATTGAAATAAGTTAATCCTTGTTTAGGTGTTAGGTAATTAACAGCATTTTATGAATTGATCACTTTTGTACCAACTTAAATAATATAATATTATGAGCACTCATATATTTTTTTCACTATATAATATTAGAGCCCTTAACCGATAACTTTGTGAATATTTTTATCTTTTTATCCTTTATTTTAAATTAAAAATCTAAAGGTTTTTGAATTGTACAATAGAAATAATCGTATATTGTAAGAAACATCATGGACCAATTACGATTTTTTTCAACAAATCAATTACTGTTTAATTTTTTTGGATCACAACAGAGCCATTTTAAAAATCAATTACTATTATAATTAAAAGCATATTTTTAGCAATAATTAACTATTGGGATAGTCTTTAGAATCACAACTAGCTTCGCCTATGCTCCGACCTAGTGTACTACAATAACAACCCTCCCCCAGGATCACTCAGGTAAAAAGTTATATAATCAAAAAGTTTATGAAAAAGCATAGATTTAATTTTGGTCCCCCCAAATTTTGGTCAATTTATATCGAAAGTTTCTCATTAAGGAATAAAATCCTTAAAATTATAGTCAACTTTAGTTAAGGTTGGTAACGATGACATGTCACCGATATAATAATGATGTATCACATATGTGGTGATAATGTTTGATAATAAGCATGCATGATGATTGATGAGTTGACAAAAACGTTAGGATATCAGAATTCATGTCTTCCCTTTTATTTATTACATTTTGTGGAAGCAAAGAGAATAGGAACATCAAGGAAAATGTACAAAGAACTCTAATATCATCAACATCATCTGTCATTATTTTGGCAAGAATGTGATACAAATGTAATAAAAAGGGACAATTTCACATAGCAATTAATCCCTCCTTCTATACTAAATTCTGCTTTTCATCTATGATTGATTAATGAGAATTCCAGATTGTCACATTTGGCGCGCCCACAATCTCCTTATTAGAATACCATCATAATACTATCAATTCCTTATGCCTAAAGAGAGAAAAACAAACAAAAAGATGAGAAGATGAGATTAGATAGAAGTATAGAAAATTTTTATCGATCAGGGTCAGTTCAGAAAAGTTTGATTTGAATAATTTCAATACAACACGTGAACACCCCCCCCAAACACTTTGGGATGTGATCAAGATTAATCCAACGTTGTTCCCGACCTAGCCTGTTCCTCCTTATGATGCACCCTTAACTTTCTTCAAACAAGAAAATATTAAGAAAATACTGACAAACTGTGAAACATATAAATATAAGAGAGAGATATATAGAGACGAACAAGGGTGGTGTATTAAGCCAACATGGGAGTGGGAAAAGCATCGATATCATTTTTTTTAAAAAAAAAAAAAAAGCATACCCTGGAAAAAGCCGAATGAAGGGGTCAGTTTTGTCTAATCAAACTAAAATTACATACATTTGCTCACAATGGAGCCGACAAGATGGAGCTTGATGGACTAACAGGGGTTAAATCTAATGAAAGAGGCTAATTGTCCTTGACATTTATTGAAAAGATCCCTGTTGCGGAGCTCCCTTCACTCCAATGACAAAAAGGATGAAGGCAACCCTATCTCCCATTTCATGCAAACCCTTGACCTTCGCTTTGCCCCATCTGCGAAAAGCCATAGGTATCCATGAACTAGCAGCTAAGGTCTGCCCATCTGCCTCCTTTCAGACTTGGAGCGCAAGGAAGCTCCCCAACTAGGGCTCATCAAAACCCTAGAATTAATTTGACTCTATATGGCTTCTCATGATCATTGGTTTTTATAGGCTCAGAAGCTTTGTGATCGATGATCTGGGCCGCATTCAACCATGAAGGATCCCAGATATTAATTAGAAAATCTCGAATTATTATGGTGTTGAATTGATGCCAATTAATCTAATTGAATGTGGCATCGTGGATGAGGATTTTGTTCTTTAATTAATTTCTCTTCTTTTTGATTTCCCAATTGCGTGTCGGTTTAGTGTATGATCACAAGTATATGCAGTCGATTATTCCTCTCCCATGATGCTGGATTGGCTTTTTCTCTCTTTATTATTTCGTGGAATTGCTTCGGGGTCAGCTTTTTACGCCCAGACCAATCAACGCATAATTGCTTTCCCTCCACGATTGGACGGGTAATTAATTAACTATTTCTAAATAAATGTCGGAATCATTTTGGATGCAATTTGTCTGCCATCCTCGCAAGGGAATGCAAATGTTTGGTCATTTAAAGACTTGTTTGGTTCTTTCTTTTTCGCTTTATTTATTTTGCCATTTGTTTTCCATGTCAAAAACAGAATATTCTGTGGATCAATATATATACCATCCTTCTCTCCTGTGAACATCTTCACTTTCCCAAAGTCGGTTATACCCCACGATTTTTTTCCCTTGTAAGAATATCATGCTATATATTAAAGTTACATTTAAGCCTCGATTAATGCGAATCTAGTTAATGGTTAATTGGATGCATGAAGCTAATTCCTTCATGAAAGCTTTCTTCATTCACAAGGCACAGAAAGACCAGGAGATTATTCCATCTGCCTTAATTATATAGGATAAAATAAACTAATTTTATTGCAGATTGATGCAATGTAAAATATTTTGATGGAAATGAAAATAGATATGAAGCTGAAATTTGAAATGAATGAGGTTTAAAAATTTATTTCTGTAACAATTTCATAACAATATAAATCATATACACACACACATCGAACCGCCTAGGACAAGGGCTCAATGGATTTAATTTGTCGATCATAGACCTTGGTATTATTATAACATAAAAAAAGTTTCACATCTAATTACTATTAGAAAATAGATTACATATAACTATATAAGTTTAGGAAGTATCTAATCAAATGATTTAAACTATTTTGATAGAGTATACTATCCTTAGACATACTTAATATAAGAAATTTAATATGATTTTGTGAGCCATTCGATCAGAGATCCAAAAGAAGAAAAAGAAAAAGAAAAAAAAATGAAAGAATGAAAGATGAAAAAACAAGAGATGAAAAATACCAAACTAGCTTATAAAATTTGATTTTCAATTAAGATTAGCATTTTTTGTGGAATTAAGATTTGACATACCAAACTAGCTTATAAAATTTGATTTCATCTTCAATTCCATTTTTATAATTGTTAATGCCATCATACCAAACAGGCTCTAAATTTGTGAAGAAAAAAATGTGAGATTTTTCAATTTTGTTATTCACTAAAATTAATGACTATAATAAAGTGTTGTATATAAGTAGTTAAAAACATGTCAACAACTTGTTGTAAGTGAGGAGGCAAAAGATTTAAAGCCAGTAATTTGAGCCAAGCCCAATAGGGCAACAAGAACCTACTTGAAAAATTAAGAGCCGGAGCCTGAAAAAATATCATTTTTTAATGGTTGGAGCTTGAATAGGCCTGAAAAATTTTGGGTCAAGCCTGATCGAGTTTGGACCAAGCTCAAATACTCAAATAAAAATAATATTTTTTAAAATAAATAAATAAAATATAATAAAAATTAATTAATTTCTTAAGTTTTATGTCATTTTATACTAAAATATCATATATTGAGTGCATTAGTATATTTATTTTTAAAAAAATTAAAAATATTTATATTTTCATATTTTTATTATTTTAATCAATAAAATATCTCAAAATAATATTTAAAATATATTTTAATATTAATTTTTATATTTTAAGACTCACTTATTTTTTAAAAATAATTTTAAGTATTATATATCATTTGAGACTTGAGTATCTAAAAAATATATTTTATATTGTTTTGTAAAAAAGATAATTAATTTTAAAATAAAAAATTAAATTAAAAATAATTTTAAAAATAAATGTTGGGCATGTATGAATTATTAACTCTACTACTAGATAAACATAATAAATAAAATAATATTCTTAAATAATCATTTGGTTATCGTCCACACCAAACTTGGTTAAAAATTAAAAATAAACTAGGATAAATACCCCTTATATATAGGAGTTAAACAATATAAAAAAATTAAAAAAAAATAATTCCAAAAAATAATATTTTACTCATAATTAAATTATTTTATTTTACATAATATAATGATGACTATTTTTCTTATATCTTAAAAATAAAAAGTACAGTTTATCCAAAAGTTCTTAAAAACTTTGAATTAATTGGGGTAATGATTTTAATTTAGTGATCCAACAATGATTGAATTGAAGTTAACTTGATCTTACTTAAAATATATAAATATTTATATATAATCATGATATAAGAAATATTTAAACAACTAAGACATTAATTTATGAATAAAAAAATTCATGACTAAATTATATATAATATAACAAAATAGCAATGGAGTTAGGTAAGTATAAAATTAATAAGTTATTTTTTTATTTTTTTAAATTCAAAATAATATTTTATACTTAATAAAGTTACTTAAAAATTAAAATTGATTTAAAAATAGAGAAAAATATTTTTAAAAAATTTTGGGTATTCGGACTAGCCCTAATAAACCTGAAGTTCAAAGGTGTTAAGGTTAGATTTAACTATATAAACTTTTTTAATAAAATAAAATACTTTAAACTTAATATGAAAAAGCTTGGCTCATCCAAATTACGGGCTCTACTCCTAAGCAAATGATTAAGGAGAAAAGATGCACTTGAAGCCTTGATTGTAACTCTCACATTGTGAACAAAATAAAATAAAATTGTTAACATTAGGTGGTGTTAGGATAGATTGATTTGGAATCAAAATTAAAATTTAAAATATAATTTTTAAAATTCATGTATTTTAAAATCCTTTTTTTGGTAGCGTAAAAATTCATACTAAATAATAAGAATGAGCTGTCCTACTAGTATGACTTGTCATGTGTTTGGATAATATTAAAAGATGACAGTTAAAATTAGAAATAATAAAGGTAAATTATATGTATTTAAAATTTTAAAAGAATTGTAATAAAAACTTTGATTTGAATTGAGATCATCCAAATAATGGATTATGTCTAAATCAAAAAACAAGTCCCAATTAATGGAATTAAACATAACAATAATAATGAATTGGTTTCCACAATAACTGCAATCCATATATATCATGCATCTAAAGGTGTATGTTGAAATACAGTGGTAACGAATAGGTTCCTGAAAATAATCAAAATTTAAACCAAGCCGAAAAATGAAAGTTGAGGTAAGTGATTGCGACCGACTCTATATGAATGCTTTGCATAGTGGAGCACCAAATTGATGATCATCATGAAAGATCCTTTTTTTAAAGGGTGCTATAATGGGAGCATGATCTCCTCATTTTGTCACTGCTTGTGCTTACCTCTTCCGGGCCCCAACCTTTTCATTTATTTAATACATATATATACCTCACTTCCTAATAAAATGTCATCATCATCGGTTACTTATATATATACATATATAAGTAATTAAGTTGTTCCCTTTATATATGTAATCATACACACAACATTTTTGCTCCATCTCTATCATATTGTTAATAAACGTTCTTTAGTTTATCAAATCAAACATAACCACCTCTTACGGTTGCGTTCGTTCACCTAATTTTTTGTCCTTGGGTTCTCGCTTTTGCTCCCTGCCTATCATTCTTACCTTCCCCCCCCCCCCCCCTAGAACCATGTCCTCATATACCACTTTCACTCTCATTCCTCTAAGTGGGTGTACATATATCGTTCTTCTTCTTCTTGTATAGCCATAAAACTCGTAATATTTAAATTGATCATCTGTCTATTATTTTCATTCAAAAATTGACCCTTCCCTCTACAAAAAACAAATAAAATGTCCCCACATATCTATTTAATCATATCATTATGTTACAATATCATTTAGATTTTCTCTTCACTTGAAGAATAATATTGGAAAAATATCTTTATTGAACTCTATTTTCTTAAATTTATCTTATATGTTAGGACGATGAGATTACTCCAAAGTTCTCTTATAATTTGGAATAAAGAGAATACTTTCTAAAGTATTACTTTTTTATGAAAATGAAAAACCACTCAATTTCACAATATTTAGAACATAAAACATCTATCATATTCTATTTATTATTACCTAATTAAAATTAATAATTTGAGCTAAGTTTGATGGGTTAGTCCAAATATTTTTGAAGAAATTTAAGCCAAGCTCCAAATCTGAATAAACTTAGCTTAAATACTTGATTTTTTTAATTACTAAAAAAATGAAATTAACATTTACTTCAGCTTTCACTTATAATTGTCAAACCCCTCCCAAACTCTCAATTCAAACATTTTGCACTCTTAAATGATGTTTTAATGTTCTAATAATGGTTTGTTCTTTGGGATATTGGAAAAAATAAATACAAGAGGTTAATTCATATACTTTTATTTTGACTCTTTCAATAATTGATCTCATTTTAATAATGATAATAAAAAAGGTATGTTGAAATGTTATGCTGCTTTTGAAATATTTTAATTTTTCAAGATAAAAATTGAAGTTGGCTAAAAATAGAATAATATTTAACAATTTAAGTATTTAGGCTAGTCCAAATAAGTTCAAATGCTCATGAGGTTAGGATAATTTAAATTTAATCTAAATAAACTCAGCTTGCATAAATTATCATTTCCTTACCTAATGATAACTTCCTATTTTTTTTATTCAAAGACACAACTTAAATGACACTTTTTTATTATATCCTATTATTTTTGTGTGTACCAAAATGGGAATTATTTTCTTTCAGAGCAATCTATAACATGGAAGAAATAAAATTGTAACTATAGGAACGTAAATGACAATTTTCCAATATAATTACTTTCAGTACGATGCTCCATCTTTTTTTTTTTTTTGAAAAGAAATCACATGTAGGTTGCATATACCACATGTAGGATCAAATTAAACACTACTGATATGTCAAGTGTAAGTTGAATTGACCTAGTATGAAAATAAAGTTCCACATCAAATAGAATACTTGTGTTGTAGAAGAGGTATATAAGTGATAAAAAAATCCGTAAACTCAATGCTTCAAGATTTTGCATTAAAATGTGGTGTTATATTCATACATATGTATAATTTATTTTGAAATCGCGGGAAGACCAATGACCTAGTTACTTCCACGATGGATGACGACAACAGCTTTAGAATGATTTTTTTAACTTAGGCTTGTAATATTTCTAGCATCTATAGGAAAATGAGTCGTAAAACTTGGATAGATGAACCGACCCAGTCATACAAAATCATAGATATACTCATACATATAATATAAAATTCATATGAAGCTGCACGAATCATAAGTTATGAAGCAAGACTTGTGCAAAACATGAAACTCATGTTATATATATATTGGAAATTTTTCATCAAGATGGATTCTTTTATGCTTATATGTATGGCATTTTGTAGGGTTAATTTACTCGTATATCTTATAGAGACTGAATCTCCATGTGAATCGCTCACCCTCACTGAATGTGAGCGCAAAAATTTTAAATCGATTTCCCATGGCAAATTGGTCGTAGCGTCAAAATATATATCTTTCATGTAGAATTGACACCACTCTGTTGGACCTTCATGCATGCATGTCTAGCCAACTAAACAGCAAGATTCTAATGCACAGAGGGAAGGGGTAAAAAAAGGTCACAACTTTAGAAAGTAGAGTGATATTTACTATCCCTGTTCATGAAATACATAGCATGAAACCCATACCGATTCCAGTTTTCTAAGCAGAAGCTTCTCTGGTTCATCCCAAACTGCTCTTGCTTGCCTCAGAACCAGACTGACGTACATCTGACCTTGCCTCAAGTAGTTTTGCCTTCAATGTGCCTTCTTGTGATTGGCCCATCACCTTAGAAAATTGTAATTTCCTCTGTCGTTTCACAGGACTAACGTTGCTTCTTACCACAGAATGAACACAATAAGCTCCCCTGCAAATATTTTCACCTCCTGTAGGCAAGAAACTTTTTCTGTCACTTGAGTTCAATCTCCTGATCAAGGGCCCATCACTTTCTTGTGCAACTTGTGCTGGTTCCTCCCAAACAGTTGATACCTCAGTCTCATTGATTAAAGATGTTCTGTCACTTGAATTCCTCTCTACAAACCTACGCTGATTTTCATCATGAGACATGCTTGACTTGATTTGTTTTGTTTGAACTTGCTTCCTCGTGGAAATTTGGCTTCCTTTCTTTTCTTGATCTATGGACCTGATGTTGCCATATCCTTCACCCGAAGCTGATCCAAAATTTTTAGCATTATCATCGTCATGCACATTTACAGGTGCACCGATAGATTGATCCTTTAGGGGAAATGAATCCAATGAATAATACTGACAGGGATAAACTTCTCTGACGAGCTCCTCTGGGTAGGAGTCACCATATTTTCTCAGATTAACAGATCCCTTTGCTCTAAGAAATGTTTCAATGTCAAAACCTAACTTGTCAACAACTGAATTTATCTCCACGAGATCATCACCAGCTTTGGCTTCCCTCATCTGCATACGCTCATCAAGCCAAGCTTCTGAAATATCAACTAGTAAACTATCAAGGTTATCTACACCTACATCATCACTCTTCTCAGACTTATGCTTTAGAGAGCGTGCCTCTTGTTTGTAGTCCTTTATTCCTATTGCAAACTCGTCACACAAATTCTCAAGCAAGATCCGAGCTTTCCTCTCCCTTTCAAGCGCTCTCAAAGAACCATAAAACAAGGACTTTACTTCAGAAAGCTCCAGAGCCAGCCTACAATGCAGGCTTTCGGAATGCCTCCTTGAGCTCCTTGATCTCGTCTCACCTTCTAGCTCTTCCTCGACTGATTGAACTGCGATTTTAAGTCTGTCATTTGCATTGCTCCTCCTGACAAACTTCTCTGCCGTTTGCTTCGTTAAGCTCTTCATTTGCCAAATATTCATTTGCTTCTCTCGTTTTAATTCTTTGATCTGTGCCCGAGAAAGATCTAGCTCCACTTTCAGGTCATTAACAACAGATATATTTGATGCATGTTGTTCTTTGATGCTCTGGATACGGTTAAGTACTTTTCGTAACTCTCTGGATGTTTTAAAGTTACAATTTGATTCTCGGATCCTACCTTTGACGTCCAAGGAACTTGTAGGTGTTACCTCACAATTGCATCTTGCCGCCTGTTTTAAGATAAAAAGCATCATTCTTGGTTTGAACCAGCTATAATGGGTAAAATAGCACTTAAACTCTCCTATATACAAATGTATTATAAGATGCATTAAAAATGATGGGTCAATGGTGAAAGGCGATTCAGTTTCAACAAATAATTGAAAACAATCAATGAAGTGATTTATTTGTCTCCCGTGAAACAGAGGAGAGATTGCTAAATGTACTTTTTAGTAGAAGTTTGTAACGAGTACAAGTTCAAAAAAGAAACTCATCTCTAAAAACTAGTCTGTTGAGTGAAAAAAAATGCTTGAATTTATAAACTACACTCAATTTGTGAGTCTCCCCGACTCGATATGGGACTTGTTACAATGCCATCCCATCAAGAGCTAACGTCCATGGTGGCTTACTATACACACTTCACTTGGCCTCTTGCTAGTCAGGACCTTCCATGGGTAGAGTCAGGAATAAGAGCTAAGCTTAGAAACCCTATTTAAATAAGATTCGGGCTTGAAAAATTAGAGTTTTTAAGGAAATCTAGCTTTTGGGCTCAGCCCTAATAGATCCTGAAAAAAGAGGCTCGAGTTTGGGTAGCTTTCCAAACCTTATTCCCCAAAAGATCAATATTGGCACAAGCATTATGCTATCAAAAAAATTGATATCGGTTCTTTTGACATTTATTTTAATACGATGTTCACAAATTTTTACTAATTTATTAAACATGATTTACTTTGGAAAGTTTGTTTCTTGGTTTTGATTAATATCGTACTCTGTGATATACAAGTTTTTGTATTTATTAGAATTTGATAAGGTTGATTTGAATTGAAATTTTTACCTTCATTTTAAAACTTGATCAAGATTCTATATTTAGATTTGTATTTATTTATTTTATTAAATTTTTTTAAAAAAAAATGGGCTTACAGATTCAATGATGAGCTCTTTAAATAAGGGTCAAGTTTTAAAAACTAGTCATGTTTTAAAAATTAGACATAAGGGCCCAAAACCCTTAAGAGCTGAGCCCATAAGGGCCAGACCTATCTATTTCCCATATCTATTCATGGATAACCCTTTTTGTAAGGAAAAAGCATCTTAATGAAAGCATCGATATAACGATTATAAGCTTAAAGAGAGAGTTCAAAAGAGTAGTTTGTTAGGTGAGAAAGTCCTTTAACTTATAAACATTACACAACTTGTGAAATTTCCAATATAAGACTCATTACAAAGTCTATCATCTAAGTACATCACACTTTGAGCTAAACAAAATAAAGTACTAAATATACACTCTCGACACCTTTTTAGATGTAATTTTTAATTTAAAATATAGGGTATATTGTAATAATTAATTCACTTTTTTTAATTTTATCCTTTATTCATTAGTATGAAGTATTTAATGTAGTTGTATTATAATTTAAAAAAAAAGGATAAAAATAAAAGTATCTTTCACTTTTTTTATAATATTAAAAAAATTAATTTTTGTTAAAATAGTTGAAAGCAACTTTAACTGCTAAAGATTCAAAAGCAAGCTTTACCTCAGCCAAGTTACCGTGATTCGAAGAGGATAGAGGCTGTATAGCGTGGCAATTTTGTTCAACAGATCTATGGTGCTGAGCAAGTGATGCAGCAACTTGTTTTTTCAAGTTACTTGCAGATGCCGGCTGCAATGAGGTACAGGGTAAGAATCAGATTTTGACAGAAATCAGAAAATGCATGAAAAATCGCTGGAGAGAAAATTTTCTAACTCATTCAATTCCACTAGAAATTATTATCGCTGTGACAGAAAACTAACGCAAGCAGTGAGAAGAATTCTAGATCAATGGCTAAAATACTCCTAAATATCAAAAGAGATCAAGAGGCGGTGAAACCAGAGTCAACAACAGCACGGGTTAAGCAGAAAAATTTTGTAAGAGATAATTCGCTTGAACTACCAGAAAGGTATAAATTACTATATGTCAACGAAAATTACTCCAGATTGTCAAGAGAGATCAAGAGGTGGTGAACCGAATGCCAACAAGAACAGTGCAGGAAAGTATATATCAACAAGAAGAAGAGGGATATGAAGGGGGCTAGCCATTGGTCCTTAACAATGCAAGGAAACAAATGAGACATTATTTGAGAACAAGCGTAATAGAAGACGATCGAGAATAAACCTGCTCAAACGATTTATCGCGGCGGCGGCGGCGGCAAGGTGTTGTGTAAACATTGGTTACAGCAGCAAGTGGGGCCTCTTGGTGGGGCAGAATCCGCCAGAGGCAAGCACAGAGGTTTCTGGCAGAAACCTTCGAAGTGGGAAAATGGAGGAATTCACGAACAGGAGTTTTGACAGTGCCATGATGGTGAGACGAAGCCTCGAGTCTCCAGGAGGGTGGTGGAGTACTAGAAGATGCTTTTCCCAGCAAAGCAGCCCCACATTTCAGGTTCTGTATTATGAATCCTGCTGCTTGTTGTTGCCTCTTGCCTTCTCTCTTCAAACCCACTTTTGTTGTTTCCATCTTTTCCTTCGGTCTCACTCTCTTCTGTCTGTTCAAATTTCCAAGTGCCAGTTTGTCGAGGGAGAAGAGAGTGATGAACAAGACGACTCAGCGCCAGTGTGGGACCGCGGGTAATTTTGCAAGTCATTGTCTTGGCCTCTTGGGATCGTCTTGTCACTCTTGTCCCAACTGTGAGCCACCTCAGCATTGCCCTTAGTGTGTTCCACGAAACCAAGGCAAGGCCCGATGCTTCCAAGTTCCAACGGCTTATTTAAAATGTACTCACTTTTTATTTATAATATTAAAAAATACAACGAATCATATTATTTATAAACAGAAAATAGTATGATTTATTTTAAATAACCCATGTAATGCACCGCTTATTTAAAATATATTAATTAAAATGAATCATACTATGAAATATATTTTTATATAAGAAATTATAATATTTACAAGTAATAAATAAGGTAACACATTCCTAAGGCACAAAACTCAGGTTTTTAATACAAAATTTAAAACAACCCGTACCATGAACAAGTTAAAAATAACAAGTCATTTCTCACATCTCATACGAATGATATAGGGGGTTTACATATTTAGTTGAATGTCACTGAAGATTTTGGATGATTCAGATTACTTTGTTGTAGGGGCAAAAGATCAGAGGGGGTGCATTGTTTGAACTGTGAACAGGTTGGATTGATGCCTGAAGGTGGACACAGAATCCCAAGTGGTCCACCACCACCAACCCATGAGTGTGTGCATATGGGTAAATAGTTATGACTACTCGTGAAAATTCGCCCATCTATAAAAGAAGCTTATCACATATATTACTACCTTCAATGTCAATGATTTGCTCCTCTCGTACTTTCATTTGTGACTTTTAAAACTTGAGTTCGATAGTATATGAAAGAAAATGATTTCTAAACAATAATTAATTTGACAAGTTTTTCCTTTATAAATCAATAAATATTACTTGGAAATTTGTGTTGAGGATTGCAAATCATGGAATGAGATTAACTAATTTTTAGACCAATTGACTAGAAGAATTTTAGTGGTAATTTCATCTTTCCAAAGAGTTTAATGCGATAAATGAGAAGGGGCATGCCTAACTAAACACACAAGAATGTTGAATGATAGTCTCCATTTGCAAAAGAGAAAGAGAGGAATTATTTGAAGTATATTGTTGTGGCACGTGGTAGGTTAGTACAACTTCCTGCCATATAAAAGCCTCGAGATGAGAGGACCACAACATCCTCGTTGGACCACTTTTTCGGGTCCTCATGCCCTTCCTAATCTGCTGCAATGGTCCCTCAATCCTCTTTTTTAACTGATTCTACCACCATCTTTATCTTTTGTCTCCAACTTGAATGATCAAATTCATTAAAATAATATAAACAGAACAATCGCTCTAAATGCATTAAAAAAAAAAAAAAGAACAGTCAGTCTAAAAGGATGTCTCCGGCTTGGTCGATGATTATGCAACTGTAAAAGCATACGTTTACTATCTAAGCCAAGTAAATAATAAACAGAGTCGGTAATTCAGGTTGAATTTAATGTGTTAACCGAAATCTGCTTAAAAAAAAATTAGGACCAAACTTTAAAAAATACAATATTTTTATGTTTGAGCCTATTGGAATTAATCCGAATACCCGAATAAAATTTTTTTATTTTTACAAAATATATAAAATGTAATAAATATTAATTAATTTTTAAAATTTTAGGTCATTTTATACTAAAATATCATATATTTGAATCCTATACATCATTTAAGTATTAAAAAAATATATTATATATTTTTTAAAAATATAATAATTAATTTTAAAGTAAAAATTTTAACAAAAAATAATTTTAAAAAAATAAAAGTTGGGTATTCGAGCCACCCGAAACTCAAAAGAATTCAGGCCAAGTTTAGTTATTTGGACTTTTTAAGGAGTCGAGACTGTTCAAATTTGAGCCTATTTAAGTCAGGCTTATTCAGGCTGAGTCTCAATATGTCCGGCCTGCCTGAATTTTTAGTTCTAAATTAATAAATACACCTTCTGTAAAAAGTTGCAAGGCATTAATTTTAAAGATGGTGTGTCTTAAATTATAAAACATTTGATGTTGTCGAGATCAATTTGTGACTTTTTTTAAAAAAAAATTACTCTTATAGTGTGTTTGGATTAAAGAGAATCAAGATTTGGATTTGAAATAAATTTCTATCTCGACACACAAAAATATTATGAATTAAGACTGCCCAATTCATTTTTTTATTATAATTCTTGTGTAATTTTAAATTTCCTTTAAAATTTTAATCATTTTAAATATTTTATTCTCTTTTCATTTTTACTATCAATACATCTACAACTCTATATTTTCATCTCTTACTATCACCTTTCATCTATTAAAAAAATAAAAATAAATTTACCGTTTTCAATTTTTCATTTTTATTTTAAATTTCAATTTATATCTCTTTTTTATTGAAAATTTTTTAAATTATCCAAATAAAAATTTTAAAATATATAGATTTGAAATGTGAGATCATGATCCAAAATTTTAAATCTAAAATTTAAATATAAATCCACCCATCCAATGCTACCTTAATGAATATTTAAGAGGGAAAACGAGCAAAATAATCTTCAAATTTAAGTCCAGAAACATCTGAAACTTTAAATTTATTTTTAATGCAATATTTTTTAAATTTTTAAAAATATTACAATTTGATCTTTACTATTACCAAAAGTTCACTGTGACCATCACTTAACCAAGAAAATGGTAGAAAAAAACATTCTACAATAAAAATTATTTGTAGACCAATCAGTTTAACTTTTCCTCCAAATAGTTACTCCCTCATGTCCTATACATTAGTCACAACCTAGAAAAAATTGGCAGGACCATAAAAAAAATATTTTTATGGCACAAACATTCTATAATAAACTAGATACCTCGAATCGGCAGGAACTGATAAAAGGGGACGCAGTCACCTTAACGATGGTTCGTTAAGCTTCAAAATTTTCTTGTCACAGCGTGGCGATTCAAGTTTGCTTCAGTATCCTTCATATGACGAAAAGAAAACGGGGCACTACATGTCCTAGTAGTCCGTACTCTCACATCAGACCTGTTTTTCATACACAAGTCACAACTGTCTGTGCAGGCCATAGATTTGCTCACTGCTTATAAAATCAATGATCTGCACAACAGTATTGTAACTTCGTATATTTGTCAGTGAAGCCGCATTACTCTACCAAGTTCACTTCTCAACACTTGGCAACTGGATACGCACAAAGAAATATGCTTGAACTGAAGGCTCAATATATAGTGAGAATAATCTGAAGTATACAACTACCTAATTAACACTGCTTTACAACAGTCATGCAAATGAACTGCAGTCAAGTGTACATAATCTAGAGATGAGGTGGAAGTAGAAAGATGGCGCCACAAGGGCACCCGTGCCAGGTCAGGATTCGCTAAAGGAACCGAACTGGGACCTTAATAAGTATTGGCATGAAGGGTACAACGGCAATGAGGCAATACAACAACGGTAAACAAAATGAAGATCTTTTTATACATAATGTTTTACTACATGAATTAATTTCAAGGTCCTTGAAGATACAATCTTCAGCTTGACAGATGCTAATTTGAAATATACGACAATTGACATGTTGTATTCCACTTGTCTATCTCCATTGCAATAGAGTAGTTAGACCTGTAAATTAATGTGCAGGAGAAATGTCTCACAATATGGAAAAGGCTGTATTTCAATTTTATTGCCAGTTTCACTGAAACCAAAAAGATAATCAATTCATTTTTTCAAAACAGCATTCCTTCAACACAGTTATTCATAAGCATACTTGTAATATCCAAAGATTCCGTAAAACAAAAAAAGGACACGTGAAACTAAAATATCAAATATCAGTTTACCTCCATCCTGAACTCTAGTACTATTTCCCACCTAATCTTGACTAAGGATAAAAGAATTTTTGCACGATAAACACCAGCTACAACAACCACAATAACAACAATATCCTGCTAAGTGGGTAGATTACCTACATGAATTGGATGATGTTATTATGTTCTATCAACAATTAAAACTTTTGAAATATTGTTGACCAAGAGGTCTTGATAAAAACCAAATAATGATATAAATTTTATATTCTACCCTAAGTGCCTACCGGAAAAAGACCAACCTCAATATCGGAAAGTCAAACATTTTGATCCACAAGACCATTCTGTTTTCCCAAATCAGCTTCTCTCCAAATTGCTTTCACTTCATCTGTCCGAAAACGCTGGGTAAAGGTAGATTCTTCAAGTGGAGTTGAAGTGCCATTAGCAAAAGCAAGAAGGCCAGTGTATGCTATCATTGCACCATTGTCAATGCAATATCTATCGTCAGTGGCAAATAGCCTTCCGCCCCGTTCAGCACACATCGTTTTCATCATCTGTTGTAAACGCTCATTGCAACCAACACCACCGACTATGAGAACATCTTTCTTATCACAATGAGCCATAGCACGCTCTGTTATCTCCACAAGCATTGCAAACAATGTCTCCTGCAATATAGTAAAATTATCATCCTACTGATTTTTTCCTCTCAATTCTTTAACAGAGTGAGCAGCATAAATGTACCTGCAAAGAGTAGCACAAATCTGCAGGGGTGCACTCATTGTTCTTTAGCTTTTCTTCAGCAGTTGCTTCAATATAGCTCAATATTCCACTGAAAGACACATCCATACCTTTAACGACATAAGGAATGTCTATAAATTTCACGCCTTTCTTGGCAAGCTGGAAGGTAAGAAAACAACAAATGGCAAGCTAAGAAAGATGATAGTTGGAGAAATAAAAATGAAAATGATGGCTGAGAAATGTTCTCTCAGTTCTTTTCTTATATATTCAGTAGAGCAAAAACAAGCAATCCAGTGCAATAGAAATGAAACAGATAAAATACAGGTTCCAACATTAAAAGAAAATGTCAATAAAATCCATCATCTCCTAGTTGTAAATTAACACAGCAGCACAGAGTCTCATACCAAACCCAAACTGAAAGAAAGTTTGCATCTTCATTTTCAAATTTTCAAGAACAAATACTCAAAATATTCTCCGGACACAATTCATGAAAAAGGAGATCTAGCAAGATAAATTCCCACAACCCAAACCCCGAAGTGGATAGAGGCAAAAAAAAAAAAAAAGATCTTTCTTAAAAAGCAGCTAAATGCTGAACCTGAGAATACAGCAAGTATTAAAGAAGCATTCCAAAAGTTTGGGGTAAATACTATGTCAAATTTTATTTTGAGTCTCATTAGATCATATAATTACTCTCCCAAGAAGTTAGCTGCACAATATTTATAATCAATACAGGGTACACCAACCATCTAGAGGAAAATGAGCAATACAGTACTTATTTGCCATAAAATGCAGTTCTAGCAATGTGATGCACCTGCTCAATGTTGTATCCAGGGCTTGGATCATTAGAAAGGGTTAAAACCCTGGCAAACCGGTCCAAGCAATTTCCTACAGCAATATCAATTGTCTCCCCAAAAATTCGGTAACGTCCCTCACTGTAAGCAATGACCTGAGTGTTTCCACCACTGACATACAGAACAACAGGATCATCGGCGCCGGTTACTACCCTTCCCATTTCAATGTGTGCCACACAATGATTCACTGCAACAATTGGCTTCTTCCAAAGCTGTGAAAGAACACGAACAACAACAGCTGACACTTGTAATGGTGCTCCCATGCCTGGACCCTTGGTATAACAGATGCAATCAATCTCATCTGGAGTGATTTGCGCTGTTTTCAAAGCAGATTTGACTAGGGGAAGGATGTGTTGGAGATGATGCTGGGCAGTCTCTCTTGGAAGGAACCCTTGTCCAGGTGGAGTAATGTAAGTGTGGCGAGGGTTTGAAAGAATTGTGCCATCTAAAGTCACAATGCCAACGCCAATTTTGTTAGCTGAACCCTCAAACCCTATGGCTATCATTCTCTTCATTTCTCTTCCACTTGAGAAAAAGGTTACGCTGTATCACCAAAACAAAGAAACAAGATAAGAGTATTATTTAGCCTTCTTTGATCCCAAAATTCTAACAACATGATATTCTCCTATGGAGTTAGAAAATAAAAAGAAAAATCAAACTCATTATATAATAAGTGGTTGAAAGGAAATTTAAAAACATGCAAGGTTAACTCAAAACGTTAAGAGTCGAATTTCTAGGTCCTCCTTCTATATATATATATATATATATTAATTATTAAGCACTAGCTTCTTCAGCTGATCTTCCCACATCAACTCAAGTCTGCTTACATTTAATCATCCGAACAAAATAGTTTCTGCAAAAATCATTTAAGTCTTCATATTCCAAGTTCATGCCCCGCCCCATTGGTATGGGAAACTTAAACAAGCAAACTTCGAAACATTTCAAGGGTTCAGCTTTGCAAAAACATGAGTAAAAAAATTTTGAACACTCTTAGGACAAAATTATACCGTGACCAGGATGATCTTTTTTTTTTTTTAAATGCACCATGCATAAACATGTTAATATAACTTCTTCAAAAAGTCTATTTTAAAGTTCACAAAATTTAATCATAAAGACACATTAAGTTCTTAAATAAGATAATCGAGAGCACTAAATCACTACAAAGTTTACAAATTTCGAGCACGCATGAGCTTTTAAGTCAACCGCAATATGTTCTTCACACACGCACAAGCCTCTCAATCCACGGTATACATTGAATTGGAACTCAAAATTGCAAAGTAGTTGCCCTGTCGACATAAAAATATGGAAAGCAACAACAGCAAATTTTATCACTCGTGCCAGTATGAGTGCACAACACTTTACCTTATTATACCGGAGCAGATGAGATGAAAAAGCCAACGTCCTAAGAGTGGAGGGGAGGGGGAGAGCACAGAGCCAGTGAAAGGGGTCGAGCGGCGATTGGAGCTTCTCCCACTGTCGACCAGCGTCGCCGATCAGTGAAATTGAAAGGTATCGAACTATGCGAGAGGCTGAAAGCGAGATGACAGACGGAGGAAGTGAACTCGCCGGCCGCAATAGCCCGAGAAGAGAAGACGGAGCCACAGGCGAGTGTGGCTGTGGCTGTGGCTGAAGGAGCGTCGATGGTCTCAAGGGCTTTTTTAAGATAAGTCAAGAGCCCACGGGCCCAGACCGACAGGCCTTAACTCCATGTAATTTTGGTACCTCGAACCCACTCCAATAGAAATATAAAGAAGGGGTGCCCAGCGGCAACAGCCTCATTTGTCTGGAGGTTATATTTTTCTCGTTTCAATAGATGGCGAAGAAGTAACTCAAATTTTCATCGTCTGCATTTTTCTGCGGAAGCGAGAACACTTTGCCCTTTTAAGTCTGGGTATGCTGTTAGTCTGTCTAGTATTCCCACTTCTAATTTCCAATCCAGCCTCCTAGCTTTTATTCTTCAACGAGTTTCCCGTTTCATTGAAGCTTTCTTGATAATGGATTCAAGTGTGTAGGTATATCTGGAATTCTAAATCCTATTTTCTCTACGGCCACTACACGAATATAGGAAACTTTGGAAGCTGTTATGCTAGACCTATGGTTTCACAGCTCCAGTCCCTCTGAAACCATTATCTAGCTGTACGTAATGAGTTGAGAATGTTTAAAGTTCTTTTTTATTAATTTATATTATTTTATTACTGAAGCGTTATTAGTTAGGACTATTCACATGGCAGTATCAGCGTACATATATGTTTGTGTTTGAATAATGGTGAAAGTGTGGAGAACAGAACACATGGGTGAGTTCCCTGATGGAATTGGGTTAGGGTTTATGTTTGCAAACTTGAGTTTGGATTAACTTGATTTTTACAGACTTGATTCTGTTCAAAAGTGAGTTTATCGTACAGTGTAAAATTATCCAGTAACTATTTACACTGTTTTAACTTGAAACATTAATTTTTTTTTTGGGGTCAAGTTGAGACTATTATACCATTGTTAATTTTTTTCCCCCTTCCAATTAAGATAAATGTTGGAATTGAAAAATTCTTGCTTTTGATTAGTATAGATGGGACTTCATCTACTCACATAACAATCACAGTGGCGGTGTCATTTTATGTTTTTGCATTCTTTTGAAATGAATAATGGTAAAAGAATGAAGAATACATATGGGTGATTTCCTTGATGAGACTGGGAAAAGATCACCCTCATCTTCTCTCATTATGGTTCTTACAGGAGTAGTTGAAATCAGAAGTCCCTATGAAACTCGCAGGACTAAAATCTCTTGATAATGCTCATGATGACTCAGTGTGGGCAGTCACGTGGGTACCTGCCACTAGTTCCCGATCTCCCCTCCTCCTTACTGGATCGCTTGATGAGACTGTGAGGGTCTGGAGTTCTGATGAGCTTGTCCTCGAGAACACCAGCACTGGCCACTGCCTTGGAGTTGCTTCTGTGGCAGCTCATCCTCTTGGTACCATTGCAGCTTCTTCTTCCCTTGATAGCTTTGTTCGGATCTTTGATGTAGATTCCAATGCTACCATTGCCACTCTAGAAGCTCCACCATCTGAAGTCTGGCAAATGAGATTTGATCCTAAGGTAATGGAGAATAGACTGTCAATGACTATGCTTGCTTGGTTTCTATTTAAATGCTTCTGCAGTGAAAATGTAGATACCTAAAATAAGTTCAGACATTGAGAAATTGTGAATTTAACTTCTTTTAAGGGCAGTTGAGCTATGTAGGCCAATTATCATTGTTAAGATTGATTCGCATATTGCAGTATTTCCTGTTAGACTCATGTACTGCTTACTGCTCTAACTTAACCTTTCATAGACTATATCTTTTCACTTTGTCTTCTTATGTTTTCCCCATTCTTGTTAAGGTTTCTTCTGGTGGGAATTCGATGTCTCCAGTTGATCATTTCCACCTAGTATCAGTCTTTTTTGTCAATATAATAATTTGAGTGAGTTTAATATTCGAATTTAAGCACGCACTCAATGCTTATGATTTCTATATGTTCTTTCAGTGCTAGAATACAAAAGAGTGAGAATACTTGTATTCATTAATCATGATTCATGAAGGAAAGCAATACGAGGATTATATTTGATAGCTCAATAACTCAAAATGTTTATTTACCTTGATAGCTTACTTTTATTTTTAAATTATGTATATTTGTTTGTTTGTCCTCTTGATTACAGGGTGCGAAGCTATAAGTTTGTTTCTTTTTCATTTTCGCTTTCGTCTTTCTTAAATCAAAATGGCTACGAGTTTGTATAGTGGATGCTTGAAAGACAAATTTGGTTATTCTCTTTTATACCATCATATGCCTTTCAATTTGCTTATTTCAAGTGGAATGATGCTCTGTATCTTCAGTATCCAAGTTCGGTTTAAATGTTAGGAATAGTTGACTCTCAGTTCATGTCAAACTTTCAGAGTGTAATTTTTTTTGAACCGTTACAATCTGCACAGGTTGTGTTTCTGTAATTTGTATTGGACATTTATGTTGTGTTGTAATAGTTTCTTTATATCACCCGTCCGCATTACATATCCTAAACTAATCAATTTGGAAATTGATGAACATTTCAGTTTCTTGGCACCTTCATTTGGCATCAGTGCTGGAGGGACCTATTGTACTTGTTTTCAATGCACTACCCTTCTACTCCCAACTTCTAAACCTTGTGCCTTGTATGTGATTTAATAATGATTATGATGACGACGGCGATAATGATGTATGAATGACTTCAAAAGCAGATTGATTAAATATTATCATCTTTCTTCTTCCCAATTTCAGAAGGGATTATAATGGAAAGGATTAAAGTATCTGTTATTCCTTTTTCCTTTGCCTATCTTTGTTAAGCATGACATAAACATAAAACATGAAAGAATAGCATGTAGAATCCGAAGTGTCTGATTCTAATTGAAGTGTTGCTGCGTGTTTGATGCAATTTTTCAAAATGTGTCGAACACAATGTGGTTATCCTTTCTTTTGAACTATCTCCTTGTTTTGCTTGTGGAAAGTCTACCATCACATATGAATTACTCCTTTAATTACTTCCTTTACTTTTTTCTGTTGACTGTGTTAAGGTATGCCCCCTTTTGAACCCTTTCCATTTTAACAACACTAACTTTAACCCTGCGGCCAGGGTGCCATTCTGGCAGCTGCCGGTGGAGCTAGTGCATCTGTTAAGCTTTGGGACACTACCACTTGGCAAGTTGTTGCTGATCTAGCAATTCCTCGGCCTGAAGGACCCAAACCCACTGAGAAAAACAGCAGCAAGAAGTTTGTGCTATCAGTTGCATGGAGCCCTGATGGGCAACGACTTGCTTGCGGGTCTGTGGATGGCACCATTTCTGTGTTTGATGTGGCCCGAGCCAAATTTCTACACCACCTTGAAGGCCACGCCATGCCAGTTAGGTCACTTGTTTATTCCCCGCGTGAGCCTAGGCTTCTGTTTTCTGCTTCTGATGATGCTCAGGTCCACATGTATGATGCTGAGGGGAAAAGTCTGCTCGGGGCCATGTCAGGTCATGCAAGCTGGGTACTGTGTGTGGATGTTAGCCCAGATGGGGAAGCCATTGCGACAGGATCGAGTGATAAAACTGTTAGGCTGTGGGATCTTGGCATGAGGGCTTCTGTGCAGACAATGAGCAACCACACCGATCAAGTGTGGGGGGTGGCATTTAGACCACCTGGTGCTGGAGGCAACCAGGGCGAGGTGGTCGCCTTGCTAGTGTATCAGAAGACAAGAGCATATCACTGTATGATTATTCATGATTTAGGCGGTGGTTTCTGTAAATTGTAGTACTACTTCGGAAGATAGTTCACTACTTTCGTTTTTCATTTCAAGGGAATTCTTTAGTTTTAGTCTACATGATGCATCATTCATTCGCTTGAACTTCAATCACCAACTAGAGAACATCGTTGATTCGTTGGGGGCTTTTTTTTGGCCAAGGGCACCAACGATAGATGTTGTGATTTTTTTCATGCTAGGTTTTATGTTAGCTGGATGCCTAGACGTATGAACCGGAAAATCACAAAAGGAAAAAAAATATCTTTAAAACAAAATACATAAATGCAATACAATAAATAAGTCGGCAAATACTTCAGGCCCGGTGGTAAAATTACTATATTTATTGTGAATTTTTAAGGATTTAGATTTAGTGAATGATTTTAATACATTCACATAATGAATGTCCCATTTGCTATGATAACAATGGCTTGATTTAATTAAATGGTTATTAAAGAGTTTGTCACTTAATGTTAAAAAAAAAAAAATCTTAAACTTTTGGAAGAGATGTATAAGTAACGATGATTTTAATGATTTTTTTGAATTTTTTTTTAAAATATATTTTAATAATTTTTAAGTAATGAGAAAATGTAACATCTATAATTGAGTATTGAAATACTTATTGAATTAATGTATTTAAAACACTTATTAAATTCAAATCTTATTTTTGAAGGGGCAGAATTTTTTAAATCAGTTTTTATTGTGTTTGATAAATTTATTAAAAATTAGATACAATTGTCTTCATAGTTAATTCATTATATATAATATAAAAGCTTTAACATACCAAATATTCACAGCGTGTAATGTATTGTAAATTGTAATTGCAATTGTGAATTGTAAATGAATAAATAGGCAGAGAAAAATATAAGATTGAAAGATAATAAATATAAAACCATTCCCGTTTTTTCCCCCCCTTTTCTCCTACTTTGCCCCCAAACGCAGATGCAACCCTTATAAGGCTTCCATGCAATAGCTATAGCTTTCCCGCATCCCTGCAGCTTCCATCACTGTCAGCGGCGAAGCGTCGTCTCAGCATAATAATAGCGAGGATTCCAGAGTACCTTACAGAGAAGCTTAGAAATTCTTTTGGAGTTGGTGTAAATAATGGGAAAGAAAGCCAAAGGGTCAAGGAAGGGTAAGAAAGCTTGGAGGGCTAACATTGGTACGGAAGACATTGAAGACTTCGTTGAGAAATCAACTAAGGATGCTCTTTCTGGTGGCCCTGTGGATTCCGTTCCCAGCGAGTCTCTCTTTTATATCGACAAGTCTAAAGGCAATTACTTTTCCCTCTGTTTTTCTTTTCCCTTTAAATGTTATTTGCTATATTATTTCCATCCTATTCCTATGTTTGGTTTCTGTGGAAATTTGCGGTGGGGGTAACAGACAACTCAGTGGTCTGAAAATTTTATGAAGGAAGGTTGATTGATTATGTCTGAATGGAATCGATCTATCTGCTCTTTTTTATGCCCTTCCAGCTTCGATTTGGGATCTAATTTTGACTCATAACTATTTTGATCGCTTGTTTTAATTACTTCAGGAATTTATTTTGAGATGTGCAGTGTAGTTTCCGCAAGAAAGCTGGGAAGGTGGACGATAACAATTATTTGTATAATGCTTTTATGTTTGAAGTACAGTTTTAATCATGCCTCCCTTGATATTTTTAAGTCATAGTCATATGTTAATGATTATGTATTGTGTTTGTGTTAGGCTAAAGTAAACAATATTTGCAGATCTTTCGGTGAAAAAGAAGATTGAAAAACATAGGGAAAAAGTCCTTCGTTGTGACAGCTTGCTACAGAAGAACCCATTTTTAAACTCTGTGCCATCTTCAACTCTGAAGAAGTCCACTAAAAAGCACAAAGAAGTCCATTATGCGAAAGAGGCCACTCAGGATGACTTTAAGGTCTGTCAGCTGTTCATCCCCTAAATTTCCACTAATGGCAGTACTTCTTTTTCTCCCTTACCCGCAAAACTTCTTTAGAACTTGTTTAATTTACTTTTCCATGTCATGTTGTTTGTCAGGTTGATTCTGGCTCTGCTTCTGGCGTGTTTGATCTATGGGGAAATAGAGGTATATTACATTATATGCATGTTGCTATTTGTGCCTTTGTCTTTTTCTGTTATTAATATTGGATTTTTATATTTCACAGATGAGGACAATGCCAAGGTCAAAAGGGTAAAACAAATATCAAGATAGATTGTGTCTATGCATTGACAGTTTCATTTTACTGTATTGCGCTTTCTGTTTATAATTTGGTAGAGTTTGCCTAACAGGTATCAAAGCCTTCTCTTATTCCAGCCGTTGAAGTTGATCCTCCTGGATGCTCATTCAACCCCGCATTTGAAAGCCACCAGGTTCACTCTTGAGGAACTGTTCTTTGTTTTTCCTGTTTCCTTGTCTTGTAAAGACTAAACATGACATATTTAAATTTTGTTTGTTCAACCAGGATACATTAGCTTGTGCTGTTGCTCAAGAAATGCAGAAAATCTACAAAGATGAATTGGGACCTGAGCCTGTACCATTAGTTGTCCCTGGAGAAGCTATTGCGGAGGAAGATGTGAGTCTTTTTCTTTTCTTTTCTTTTTTGTTTTTAAATTCATGTACTTGTTGAATTTATCGATGTCCAATTATCATTCTTAGAAGCGTTGTTTTCCAACATTGAAAGTCTTAGATGTTGGGTACGTGACTTTACAATCTGCTTTTGTTCTTACCTTGAAAGTAGTCCTTTGGAACAATGATTTGCTCTTCATCATTTTCTTGAACTCTTTGTGATGCTTTAAATTGTCCTAATCTTTACCTGTATTCTGGCGACTACATGCAATTTTTTTCAGATGTATTTTCTTGACGTGGATGATGGCAGTGATGATGAAGACAATCTTGAAAATGAGGACACTGAATTAGAGAAGAGGTAGGGCTCTTAGCTTTAATTTTCCTGATCATGTTTTCCTCATGTTATGTTGTGATAATTTGCTCATGCAATTCAAATAAAATATTTTTCTTCCATTTCCCTTGAGGCACGTGGCATATACTTTCTTCTGGAAATCGATTTTGACCTTCTAATGCTTGATCACTAAATTTGAAGTCCTAATATTATGCTCTTTCAGTCCTTCTGAATATTCTCTGGCAAAAATAAAATAAACTAGGCCCTTCTGAACGTTAAATCAATTTTTGTTACCAGTTATTTTTTGTGATTAGCTAACTTATTGTTATAGCTTCTTCTTTAAACATTAATTAAAATTGTCGCAAGCATAAGTTTACTGTTTATTTGGAATACATACCTGATGCATATGTTCTTTACTTTGCATGTCAACGCTAAAAATACTTGATTCTTGCATCTAATCATTTGAATACATTTTATTAACACCCTGTATTAGTGTATATCATTTCTTTTATATGAACCCAACGGTTTATGAGATCAATAACTGATGAATTACATTGTTTCAACAAACTATGGGGCAGACCTACTAAAACAAAAAGAGTGACTCGAGTCAAGTTGAACAAGAGAGCAAGGCTCAAAGAGCAATTGAGGAAAGAGGCAGAAGCAAAGAAGTTGGAGCAATTGTCAAAAGAAATTGATAGGTAAGATATAGTCTTCTTGTCTTTCCCTCAAAAATAATAACTATGAAATTAAATTGAGTCAAATATGGTCATTGTGCCTTGCAGTGTACAAAATATCGTTCAAGAAATTGAGAAGGAAGATGAAGAGAAGAACAAAAAACGTCTCAGGAGACTTGTTGCTAAACAAGAGAGGCTGAAGTCACGTCCACCTCGTTTAGGAAAATACAAGTAAGCGATCTTCTATGCAAGTGTTCTTCCTTGTTTAGTGTACACTTGATATTTCCTGCCATCAAAAACCTCAAATCCATAGTCATAACTTTTGAATCTCGATTGAATAGATTTGAGCCTGAACCTGTTCAAGTTCTACTCTCTGAGGAGATAACAGGGTCCATCCGGAAGCTCAAGGTAGACTTGGAAATCTCTTTTACCTGAGTTTTTTTTTTTTTTTTTTTGAGGTGTCTACCTGTTTACATGCGTCACTCAACAGCATTCTGATTGATTTCTATTGGTATGAAGCCTTGTTCCACCCTGTTAAAGGATAGATATAATAGCCTACAGAAAAGAGGAGTGATTGTTCCAACTGGCCGAAGAAGGTTAGTACAAAAACTGCCCGTCTACTTCTGAATAGTCAGTCAAATAATAAGATAACCGTAAGGTTTCTTGATATTCTGTGGAGGATAATATTTGAAATTTGATTTTTTTCCCCCATGTTCAAGTAATACATGTATTCAGGGAGAGAAATGCACGGGGGCTCACATGTCACGTTTATCACTATATTTATGTCTCTTGAAATGCATTATTATCTAATTCACAATAGAAAATTCAATTCAAGCTGATAATGCTATGCTTGTTCGTGTGCATTGGGCAGGAAGTTAGGCAGGAAGTAGCCGTCACATTATTAACAGTTGCCAATTTTCGAGTGAAGATGGACTTGGCAACAGATGCAGAGTAAAAGATGAAGATGATCTACAACATGATAATTTTGTCTATCTTTTGATTTGCTTGATATCTTATTTTCTCTGGTTTACTATTCTCCTTTTGAAATTAAGAATGCTTTGCTAATGGCATGTGATAATTAAGATTCAAAATATAGTATAACTTGTGTGTTTTATTCCGATGGTGTGTTTGAATTTCAGTTAGGTAAAATTAATTGTGAAATGATTGATTGATATTATTAATTTTGATTATAATTAATTATGTTATAACGTAATTGTATTTGAATGTTATTTTCTGAAATTGATCTTGATAAAGTGCCTGTTTGGATATGTTAATGGAATCGCTTATACTTACTGAAACCATGATTTTGGTTAAAAAAAGAAAAAAGCACCCGAATACTTATTATACTTTTCTATAATCAATTATATTAACTTAAACCACATTCTGGCTGAAGCTAATGGGAGCTTCTTCTGAATTTCAATTTTACCTTTGCATGTATTTATTATGTCAGATAATTCACTTGTCAAATATATCCCTGAAGATTGTATTCAAAGTTGAAACAATAGTGATATCATTGGGGATCGGGGAGAAGTTCGTGGGCGTCATTCATTCATTCAGTTGTTACATAATACTAAATTATTAATATTGTTATATAATATGATTTAAGTTTTTATAATTAAGATGTATATGTTAAATTATTTAGATATTAAATGGATTAATATTATATATAATTATTCGTTAATTATAGTTCAACGAATTTAATCTTATATACCACTTTATTAGTGTGAAAAGCAACATCCCTTATAATAATTTGTACATTCAAAATTGATTTTTACACAATTATTCAAACATCTTATAGTGAATCAAAGTTATCACAGAATATATTGTATAACGTTGCAAAATTTCTATAAGATTGTTTTAACTACATCAGCATTTATTTATTTTATCATAATCAAAGAAGCTGGGTTTTAAATAGAAATTCAATGTTCAAGCCCTCCTAATATAAATAATATGGGAAAAAATAAGTTGTACTCCTATGAATCATAATATATTTTTTAAAAATCTTGCCTGATTCAAAATATAAGACATTAAATAATTTTTATATATTTTTTTAATTATGTTTCTGGCTTATTTATTACTCTTATTTTAAAAAATTATGTATTAAAATTTTAATTATTATTATCAAGACTCTTATATAGGATATCTAATAAGGGTATTAAAAAAAAGATATAGACATTTTAAAAAAAATTTAAAATTTCAACTAACATTGTTTATAAAAAATGAATTAGTTAACTATGACTTATACTATAATATGGAGGGACTATTATTTATATTTATTTTTTTATTGATTTAAAATTAATAAATGAACTTGATAAATTAGAGTGGGTAGATGTTAAAAGTTTTCTTTTTTTTTTTTTTCTTTTCAAACTCTAGTAAAGATGATAGGGTTGCTGAGTTTGATATTTTATATTTTTGATATTAATTTCTCATTAGACACCCAATAAGTTTCAAATATTTATTATCATATTGTCAATAAAATAAATTAACTTTAAATCGACTGCAAGAGCGAGAATCACACAAATCAGAGGCGACGTGCAAGAAGGAGAGATGAGAAGCTTGAGGGTGGAAGAAGGAACATGAAGGGGCGACGGAGCGGAGAAGAGTCTCAAGAGGTTGAGAGAGTGAACGAGTGGCGAGAGCGGCACTAGAGAGAGAGCAATCTAATATGAAGAGAAATCAAAATGGCTCTGATCTGAAACCCAAATCAAGAAAACAAAATCCGGACCCTGACAAACAAATCGTTGATATTCCTTATTGGCCTTGACTTGTTGCAGCAATCTGATCTGGATCAGCTTCCATGATTGAATATGGTGAGATGAGGAAGAAAAACGGATGTGTGGAACGACGAGGAAGAGCTATCGTGGCAAGTCATGTGGCTGCTAACTTTTAGATTAATGGTGAAAAAGCTAATGTTAACAGTTAATTTAATGCTTTTCTCATCACGGGAAAAATTTATATTTATAATATTTTGATATTGAGGCATTAGATTTAGAGTCGAAAATAAGAATTGAATTTGAAGAACTGAAATTAAAAACTTTATTTAAATAAGAATGAGTTTTAAATTTTAATTTTTTTAAAAATAATTAAATTTGAGGGCTTGACTCTCAGGCTCGAGTGACCCTTCAAGCTTGATTATATTATTATTAATTATTTTTTGATGGAATATACATTTAAAGCTAAGAAAGACTTATTCGCCTAAAGCCCCAATCTTACATACATTACATTATTATTAATTTTAATTTTTTTTAAAATTAATTTAATATAATTTAATAAATATCAATCTACAATATAAAATTTTTGATATTTTTTTATTTTTCTATAATTATTATGTTTGTATATTTATAAAAAATGAACTATTTTTTTAACTAAGATTTAAATTTTTTTAATAGATTTCTAAACATGTGTTGTTTAATTTTTAAAAATTATAAGAATTTTAATTTTTTAAAATTTTAAAATATTTTAATTAATTATAGTACTTAATTTTATTTTAATTATTTTAATTTTTTAAAATAAAGCTCACCGACCCAACCCTGAACCCTTCAAATAAGGATCGAGCTTAAAGACTCAAGTCCTTATGAGCCAAGCCCATAAAGGTTGAGTCTGTCCATTTCAACTCTAATTACATTATATTTTTAAATATTTTAAATTTTAATTATGTCTCAAAATTTTTTTTGAAACATATTAGTATTTTAACCTAAATAATTTTCATATCCAAGTTTTACTTCAAGTCTTTAATATCATTTAAAACATTTATTTACCATTCAAACTAAATATACAGTAACATCCTCAAAAATCAAAATATTCTTTTTAGAAAAGAGAATGAAAAGCAAGCTGATTATTTATTTATCAATTAAAATTGATATGAGTGGTAAGATTTTTTTATTTAAATAAATCATTGAAAATTAAAATCTATCCTGGTAACAATTTAATTAAAATATATTTATTCTAAAAATAACATTTAAGTGTCAACATAAAATTTATTTTAATATTTATATATATATATATATATATTTGGTTGTATGGATGGTGACAGCCACCTTTGCTAAAAGCCTAAAAAAAGTAAACTGTAAAAGGATGGACCCCACTTCTCCACCAACCCTGATAGGGCAGGTTTAAGCTTTAAATTGGCCTGAGTAAAATACAGTGTTGTACGGACAAAGCCCCCGCGAGGCACTTTATCTGTCCAGCAACGCAGGCTGCTATGCGACATGGAAAGTGGAGACCATCACATTAAATTATATTGGAGCTTAAAAAAAAAAAAAATTCAAATTGATTTGTGCACAATGAGAATAAATTAATAAACATACACGAGCAAGTCCCATCAATTGTTACTGCTAACGTGCTATCCTGCCTTCTTGTTCAAAAGGAACAACAAGATAACTTTCATGGAATCAAGATTTGCCAAAATTTCTACACACATAACTTTACAGTTTTATTTGAGATTACTAGGAATGGAATTCAAGCAATGAATGAAGTCATTTGTAATTTTTGTAACCGATCAAGCCTCTTGATTAATGTTCAAGAATCTTCCTTGCTCCTCAATCCAAAATGTTCTCTAGAATTTAAGCAGGAGATTGTTGATTTTTTTTTTTCAATATAACTAGCTAATTCTTTTGGTAAATACCCGTGTACGTGGATTCATGCTAAGCAAGACAAATCTTTAATTTTTTTCTCGAGTCATGAAACCCATTGTAAAAACTTTATCTTGTGCTACAATTCCTAATCATATATGTGATACCATTAATGCAAAACTTATTGATTTCTTTAGGAATACAATGATGGTAAGAAAAATATTCATCTTACAAAAGGGAAATTCTTTTTCCCCACTACTAAAGAGGGTGCTCTTGGATTAAGAAACACTAAAAATATGAATCTAGCTCTCTTGGCAAACAAATCTGGAAAGTGCTTAATGCTAAAGAGTATTCTATTCTTGAAAGCATAATCAAAATCAAATATTTTGATAATTTTAAATGGACAATTGTTCAAAATATCTCAATATCTTTTGATTTTGAAAAAGCATTTTCAAGACCTCTGACCTTATCAAAAACATCTTTCTTGACATGTTAGAAGTGGTAAATCTATTTCTCTATCTCATGAATGCTAATAGAAGCCAAACAATAGAGATCTAGCTAGAGAGCTGTGCATTTCCAAGGTCTTTGACTTAATCATCACAAATGCATCCCCTTGGATAGCAATTAAGTGGAACTCTTCTCCCAGTCACGAACTTTATGTTGGGGATAATGCAGATTTGATCTTGAAATTCCTACTTCTTTTACTAAATTGAATTACATTTATATCTAGGGACATGATGTTTACACTATCAAGGAAGGCTTTCAAAGAGTAGATACTTCAACATAAGCAAATGCTCTATCTAAAGAAAGCATTTAGAAGCTTCACCTCTCATTTAAAACTTTTCTCTTCATTTGGAAGGTTGTCCATGAGGTTTTTCTTACAAGAGATATCTTATAAAAACACCATCTCAATTCCACCCTGTTATCTGTTTTTAGCTGTGATTCTTCATAGACTCTCAATATATCTTTTGTGATTACCCTTACACTAGAGCTATTTGGTTTGGCTTTATGTCTATGTTCTCCTTTGATGTTTCAAACGGGGGGGTTTATTTCTTGGATCTTACAAATTTGTTGTGAACTCCATCACAATCAATAAGATCATCTCTTGGAAAGCATATTTTTTTCTAATTTACTTGATATGGTTCTACATAAATTGGGCTTTACATATAGGAAATATTATTTTTGTGGATCAAGTTATTCGTCAATTTCAAGGATTGTATTCTTTCCTCATAAATGCATGCAATTGAGATAATATTTACGGTGCCAGTACAAATAATTGCCACAAATTTCAAGAAGAAAAATCAACACCTACTTTATTTTGGCCTCATATTCAACTCGATCTTCCCATTTAGAGAGTCAAGCTTCAATTAATCAAGAAATGGAAAAAAGCCCATTGTGTTGTTCATTTGTCTCTCAATAGTGAAGTATGTGCTGAGATGATTTTCTGCAGTTCTGAATTTATATCTCTCCACTTTTTATGACTTTCTACTTTTGGGCACTCCTGTTTTGGATTCAAAATTTATCTTGAATTTTCTTTTAGCATTGGCTGAATCTGAGAACCTTGCATGTTTAGTAAAATAAGGAAATATGCTTCTGCCCTACAAGAAATCGCCTTTTTTACCAAGATGTCATGAGGCTCTTACAAGATTTTAACAGCTATAAAACTCAGAAATGTGATCCCAATATCTCTGTTTATCCCGCTTTTACCCTACCCAGTTGTTTTGTTAATTTTTTTTAACGCTATCCTTGTAGATACATTTTTCTTTTTTCTTTTTTGTTAATATATTTGACTTCTTACCCCAAAAAAAAAAAATCAATGCAGTCACATGCATGCCAGTCCCTAGATGATTTCCCCAATCAATTTTCTTATTAACCCAGTCTACGAAAATTTCCTCTTTCCCTTTCAGTTGCTACAAGATAAATTCAAAGCCAATATTGGAACTGTCAAAAAGATGCTTCAACACTAAGCGCTAAGCAGCATGCCCAAAAAAGGCCAAAAAAGGGAGGAAAAAAAAAAATACACTAAGCGCTACCGCTAAGCAGCCTTGCCTGACTATGCAAGAAGTTATCAGCAATCAGAGTTCAGCATATGCCTTGAAATTATCCTAGTTATAATCCTGAAAGGCTTGTGTTTCTTAGCAGATACTTGTTCCCATGATATATAAAAAGAGAAAGCAAGCATACAATGGAGGATGCATCCATAACAACATAGGTCCAAGCGCCATATTCTCCGAGCCATCCCCCAAAAACAAAGGAAAAAAAAAAAGTTAAAAAAGAGATTGTTCTTCAAATCCAAGGAGCTTGCTCCTATGTGGAAGAAGAGCTTGCTGTTTCTTCAAAGTATTTTGACACAAAATAACAGTCTCGGGGGTCTCAGCACCTTAATCCTATCCTATCCTATTAAGAGACCAGAGCGTCTAGAAAATTAAAAGGTCTCCGGATGAATCGTAAGAGTAAAATCTATGAAAAAGAATCTAGAATGCCCAACATAGAGGTCTTGTAGTTGTAAAGAGTTTCAAGTTGAAATTAGACCGTGTTTTGCGCTTCGTACGATTTAACACAAGTCACATTGTCTTTAATTTTATTAATTTCTGATAGATTCAAGAACCTTTTTAGGGGAGAGAAAGAGAGATCAGGACATAATCTAGGGAGAGCAGAAACAGAAGATAGGCGTGTCTTGAGGCACAAGGTTCCCCAGCCAAGTGCCAAGTCCTCATTTCTTAAGAAGGTTACATTTTACAATCAAAAACCGAAAAAATTTCTTTCAGTCAGACACCACCCAGCATTCTCCCATCTCACAAGCTCCTGTCCTGGACAAAAGCCTACTTCTACGATTGATAACCTTTTTCTCTTTTAAAAAGGTCAAGAGAAAATAAAAGAAACATTACTAGGATCACATGAATAAGCTTTTTCTTTCTTTTAAAAAAATCATGTTCCATAGTCACGATTTTACTGGACAGTAAAGGAACATCCAACTCCATCAAATGATTTCGCTTTGAAAACACTCCCTTCAGTAATACAGGGAGCAGACAACTAGGTTGACAATACATTTCATCGCAACAATAGGAAAAAGTGAAGAAAGTGGTCTTTTTTATTGGAGCAACAGTACAGATAGAATAAGGAACAGTAACGAAGTTCTGTAATATTTTTAAATTCTATTGATAATATTGCAGTATCCATGAAGAAAGAGCATTTTCAGCAAGTACACTTTGTATGAACTGTTGGAACCATCGAAATCATATTGAATTTAAACTTTGAGAGTAAAGAACAGAAACCTTCAGACAAATCTGTCAATCGTAGCTGTTGGCTGTAAGAGAAACAAACTACGGAGCAATTTCAAGCCTAGGCTCAAAGCAAAAGCCAGTGAAAAGCTGCAGTGGAAACCTTTTTGTCACGGGGCACTTCTGCGACCATTTCCATTGTCTATGGTTCATGTCAAATATCAGAAGCGCTGGAGCTCCATAACTTTGAATGTATATCAGATCATCCGTACCACTGCTAGCAAAGACATCATCAAGCTCTCCAAAGCCTTGGAAGAACTTGTGAGGCATTCTAGCAATCTCATCCCATTTCCTATCAATTAGAACCCAGATACCAATCCCTTTTATTATGTCAGGATGATCTTGTTTACCAATTCCCCCCACCATTACAAGCTTCTCCTTCAGATTCATCAGACGGCCACATGTTAGAGAACAAGGTACTGGAATAAAGCTCTTTGTCAAGGTGCCACGAGTAGAATGGTTGGAGATGTCATATGCAATTAGGGCATGGCGATTTTCTGGCAGACCACCCGCAGTTGAGTAAACTAAAAAGTAAAGCACTCCATTGCATATTACACTCTCATTACCACCTCTCCACCCGATCAAAACTTCTGTTAAAGTAGTCACCCAGGTCACTTTTTCTGAATTGTATATAAGAATTGAGACGTCCCACTGGGAAAAGTTTTCAGGGACTTGCTTCGATTTTATGATTGCAATGTTATAACTGTGTGATTCCCCATTCACTGAGATTGCTAATGCACTGTAATCAGAAAATTTCAAACCTGGGGGCTCCTCAAGCTTTTTGTAACGTCTAGTAATGGGGTTGCAAACATATAATTCACTTCTGCTATCATTGTCCATGAAGCAAGCCAAGCCATATGATGAAGCAATGAACCAATTAGAAGTACCAATGCAGGGAAGTTTCATACCATACCATTTCCGAAGGATGGGGTCAAAAGCATAACCAATGGGTTCATCAGAACTTGTAAACATAAAGTACCAAGGCTTGTGCGGCAGCAAATGTGAAAGGTGCCAGAAAAACCTTTCTGAGGCGACAACCTCATGCCATCGTTTACACACACAACCTGCTCTGAAAATGCTTGCAATGGGGAGATAGGCTAGGATTCGTTCCAATAACTCATCAGGCAAAATCACATTCAAATCCACAAAAAACTCAGCAGCTTCATTATCAACATCATCACCAAATTCTAGAAATGAATTACACTCTTTGGCCTCCCTTGACAAGTCATCACAGTAGTGGCTGACCCATGATGTTTCTCCAGCCATAGTAGTGTTGGAAGGAAATACCTGATAGATATATCAGCATGATAAAGGGCACATTCAATTGTAGAGGTCACGTTACAGTACATACTATAAAGAACATAAATAAGATTATATTCACCAAATAAAAAGGAAGGGGGGGAATCTCCATAAGGGGTAAACAAAAGACGAAGGGGATAAAATAGAAAATAAACATCAGATCTCTACAAACGGAGAAATATATCAAGAAAAATTCAACCCCTTTCTAGATGGGGTTATATTAAATCTGAACTTGAGAGGAGAAATGCATAGCCACAAGTTATTCATATTCCTTGTATTTTAAGAGTCCACATCCGGAGTTTACCTAAAGAATGATGCATGGAAACGATGTGCAAAACTTATAAAAGAGAATATCTAGGCTTGCCCCCATGCACTGGGAGTGATGTAAGAATCATTTGTTAAAGCCAATAGTAAATTATTCAAATTAGCCATAATTCAAATATGCTTGTTGCAGACTGCCAGGGAAGGCAATGCATGAAAATGCACGGAAGATAAAGACGACAATCCTATACATCACAACAATACTGCGCGAGAATAAAGCAAACAGAGAAAATTGTTTATAAATTCCGTTATCATAAAAAGCATCGGATTCTGCATACCAATTGGTAAGTTCAAAAGCACGCTCAAAATTCTACATGCTTTGCAGATTTCCTCGGATATTTGATCTCATAACAATAAACACAGAAAATATTTTGTCAAACAGAAAAAAGTAGCAAATTTTTCATATGATATAATATAACGTAAAACTCCTTATAAACAGAAGCAAGCATTGCAACTTACGGATTCTACACAGGTGGATATATAAGTATTCATTGAGAACGAAGAAATGATGTGAAAGCCATTTCTTAACCCAGCTCCCCCGCCCCGCCCCCACCAAAAAAAATAAAAAACAAAGGAAAGAAAGAAAGAAAGAAAAGAGCCCGTTAATCCAAAGAAAATTTCCACCATGATCCTATCATCAAACCATAAGAAGGTTGATATGATTCAAACAAACAGCACAGACGGGCAGAGAAAATCGAATGTTGAATACCCCATCAAGCAGACGCCTAATCCTCGCAATCCTGATAGCTAAAAATTTCTAGTCATCTCAAAATGATAACGCATCTTAAAAACACTTACAGATCAATGAAGACAGAGGAGCAATAAAAATTCCAGGAAACATTTCGTATATGAAAAAGAGAGAGCATTTTGAGAATTTGAAACCCATCACATACATACGCCCAACTTACTTAAAGCTATAACCCTCTTCCACTGTCACAGCGCAAATGAACCTGAGCAGATTCAGGGAGCTTCTAGGATTACAGAGAAGAGAAGAACAAATGGGGAAAGGAGGCGGTGTTGCGATTAATCATTCATCGAATAAAACAATTCACAGCAGCCTCAGCAAACATTGAACAGAAGGAACAAAATGGAATGGACTGCGTATAATTTTCCTTCAAATGGAAGAACAACGGTATGATGGGTTGCTCTAGATTTGGTTGATAAACAAGGCCAAGCAACAACACACAGTGAAATATAGAGAGAAATAAGTAGAGAGAGAAGTAAGAGACGGAGAAAGAGGCATGTTTTTATTGTTTCTTTTCTTTTTGGTTCCTATTCTTATACAAGAAAAACGACAGGCAAGGAATGGGGCGGGAGGGCGGTTTTTTCCGTAGGAATGGTGCTTTTTGTTGGCGAGGAAGAAGTGCGTGAGGCGCGTACCCTTGTGTTTTCGTGTGATTTTTGTAAGGGAAGGTTGAGGTGTCATTCAACGTGAACGTAGGCGACAATTTTATTTTGAGCGTTTCATGGATTATACAAACTAAGAACATGAATCATTTATGTTGGTTAAAAAAAAATTATATATGCCGTTTATTACTTATGAATTATAAATAATATAATATAATTTATTGTGATTTTTATATTTACTACTAATAGTAATACTTATATTGATATAATAGTGATATATTTTTAATCTTTCGAGGTGTAATTATTATTATTTTTAAAAATATCTTTATTAATAATGACTTTATATTTATTATAAGGTATTTGATAGGGGTAAATATGAAAAGATTAAATTAGTTTAAAAGTAAATAATTATTACTTTATTGAAAGATGAGATTCGGTTAAAAATATTTTAAATCTTTAAATGGAAGGAATATATATTTATTATAAATATTGTTCATAAATATTTTTAATATTAAATTTGAATCATCTATATTTAATCTGAATTATATAAATTGATAATCAAACTTAATGAAGAAAATAAAATTTCTTATTTAGTATAAAAATAAACATTTTAAATTTCAACAATCCAAATACACTACTGCTCAACAGAGAAACGTTGGAGGGATTTTCTTAGTAGAGAGAATTCAACTCCATCTAGAAGGGTTTTTAGTTTTTACAGATTAACGATCACCCTTAGATCAAAAAACTTTTAACAGCTCTGATTTAATACATTTGATAAAATAATAATAATAATAATAATAATAATAATAATAATAATTATTATTATTATTATTATTATTATTATTATTATTATTTTACATAAAAATATACAAATAAAATTATATGGTTTTAAATTGTTTGATTGGATCAAATTTTAATAGTTCAAATTTATTCATATATATTAACTGTTGAAAGTTTTTTTATCTAATAGTAATGAAGGGAATGAGAGACCCCTCTTCCATTCTTTATATACACACAAGCTCAAATCAAAGATCTCATAAATGCCAAGGAGTGTACTTGATTTCTACCTTCTCAAGAAAAAAAAAAAACATGTCACTCAAAGATGGCAAGCTTTCAACTTGCACGCGCACGTTAAAGTTAGAAGTTCCCAAGTAATCAAGCGATTGAGCCAATCCCATTACTCTGTCCAAACAATGAGAAGCAAGCAAGCATAAATAAATTAAAGGAGCAAAATCAATATAAATGTACTATGTTAATTATCACAAAATATAGAGCATTCGGGCAGCTCTCATATACGTTCATTAGCAAATTAAACAACACCAATACACACACACACACACACAATACTATATTACATATCCAAGATTTCGGTGGAACAGAAGAAATGCATGCAAAGATATGTACAAGATGAATTGAGGAAATTAAACTCATTTGATGCCCTAAACTGTTTAAAATGCAGTGCTCACCTTGATTTCTCCGAATGTTTAGTGTCTGTAGGTAGTTGCCATCGGGGCAGTGTCGCTATAGCTCCCTCTTTTCCTAATCTTTCTTTAGTTGCTTTTCTGGCTTTACCATCAGCTGATGCTACTTTGACTTTGTTGATTTTGCATCGCCCCTATATAATACAGCAAGGGAGTTCATATTCAATCTTATATTTTGTCTACATAAACATTGGTTAAGTTTCAACCAGAAAATGAAGATCTAAACATGTGACTCATAATATTTTGTTTGCTTATGAGAACGGAGTCAGACTCACGATCCATTTTGACTTAGCGTGTTGCTCTTTATCATTTTTGCTCTCGCATGATTCCATGCATAGCTCAGCCTACATATAGAATTGAACACGGCATTTTCTCTGGCAAAATTTATAAATATTATGGATTTGGATTAATTAATTAAGCCCAAATAAATTGATCTTTATAATCTTATGTGGATTATAATAGGTGGATCACAAGTAATCCCAATAAACAAAGGCCCAACCTATAACTATGTTCCCTATCTCTTAATTGATTGAGTTAAAGATAATGTAAAATTTTATTATTTAATTAATTATTAAAGCGGCTATTTAATGTGATCCATATAATATGATCAATTAATAACTAATAAATATGACTCTTTTCATCTTTTCTATTATCTTTGCACTCACTAAAAAACTATAGAAGTCTAATAAATTGTGTGTCTGCGTATAGCCTATACTCGAGGTAAGTGAGGTATCACAATTAGTCATAAATTCTTCATACGTATATTACTTTGCATGATCTTATGTGTCTTATATGGATTGAGATACTTACATTAACATTTTCTTGCTCTGCAAGTAGTGTGAATTTGAATATAGAATCACTGTTATAAGTTTGAGTTAACTCAAAACGACAAACATGGCCTCCCAATGTGCCATATAACAGTGAAGCCATTTTGAAAAGTTGAACCAAAATATGATCCAATTTGTGGTTTTTTTATTGCAAGTTACATTCATGTAACAGTAAATCATGATGCTGTCTCCATTCTTCATGTTTTGGTTTCTTCTTCTTCAATCTCTTTCTTTGCCGACACAATAGAAGCTGCTCCTGCGTAAAACAAAAACAGGAACGGCTCGTAATTTACACACACACACACACACAAGGCATAACTATATCTTCAGACGTACTTCATCTATTATATTCAACAGAACAATTTTAGTCTTAGAAGAAGAGCGGTCGACCAGTTCATTTTCACAATAAATTTATAGCTTAATTTTTTTTCAATATTTATTACATCTTTTTTAAAAATTTATCATCATTTGAACTATATTTAGGAAACAACATCCACTTCTTGATCAAGTGTTGCATGATTATACACACACACACGTACACACACATGTATACACACACACACACACACACACACACATATATATATATAGTGGCAGCACCACTATTATATTGCAGATCGAAGGGCTCTTTCCAGAGAACGCATGCTCTCTTGCGCACGATAAGTCAGGCCTCACTTTCTATTACTTCGTTGAAAATTCTCTCCACCATATATACTAAATCAAACCATTAGACACACACTCTTAATTTTAATTTGTTCCTTTCGAAGTCTTAAATTTTAGAAGAAAATTATAAGTTTTACGGTAAATTAAAGAGAAATGTAAATTTAGACCAAGCAAATTAAAGCAATCTGAAGGAACCAAAATACTGCAATACTGTTAAAGGATATAGTTTTAATTAAGAATAGTGAGCAAGTCATGAATAATTACGTGAATGATACTGTATATCTTCTGGATCGAACTCAATATAAATATAAGGGCATTGGTTATATTCCGGTTGGAAATTAAACTAGTATAGTAATTGAGGACTTTTTTTTTTCCCTGACGACTGCACATTCTAGAAACCCTAATTGACCCACTCTTTCTTTTGCAGCTTTTTCTTTGTCATTTTAGCTTTTCCACAACCTGTTTTCTCTCTGTAAAGGTCACACGAATCAAAGTAGGTTAAAAGTTAAAGGAACAGGAGGTTGATGATGACTTATTTGAGCAATCTCTCTCTTCTTTTTTTTTTAATTCCATTTATTTACCATTTACGCATTAATTCTGCATCCAACGTCAACGTTTGAATTTAAAATTTGATGGTGGGTCGAGATGTCACAGAGAAGAGGCAATTTATTTAATATCGAGCTTTAATTTGACAGATCGAAACCATTAACTGGTTCTATAAAGTCGTGTAGAAAGTAGAGTGATCGGTTTCTTCCTCTTCTCTCCTTTCTTAACTAAATAATAATGATCATAAGGTCACGACCGAGAAGGCACCTGCGGAAAAAGTCAAATGTTTATGGAGGCCATTGTGTTGTTATGTGTCATTTATTATTGTTCTGACATCACCGAATGAGATTTTAGGTTCATTGTGTTATATGAAAATAATTAATTTTCATGAAAAGAATATACGTAAATCTTTTGGATTCTAACATAGCATCAAGAAATAATAAAAATAAGAGAGAGAATTATCAAAAGCTGTTAAAGAATGTCCTTATTCCATTCTGAATTATAAGTATGTCCTCGATAAATTATTTAATGACATTTAAAATTAATTTTTTTATTTTTATTAGTAGGAGTATTTACAATAGTTTTTAGCTATGTTTGAAATATGATTATTTTTAATAAGAGAATACTTATAAATAATAAAAAAATAGACATTCTTTTCATATTTACTTTTATTTATATAGGGTTATTTTAATTTAAAATTTCATTAATTAGACTCCTACTTAAAGGCATCATTGAAAAAATTGTATAAATTACATTTTAAAATACTCTAAATGCCTTATATTTATAAATTATAAATATTATATAATTCAAAAAATTGTCTTATAATAATACTTATGGAATGGGGTAAGAATACGGGGGAAAACAAGACATTCAGTAAATCACTTAGTCATGTCATGGCAATTATATTTAAGGTGTAACTGTGGAATTAGCTGAAACGATGCCGTTTTGTATTATGAGGGTTGACATTAATGAATGAATCGTTTGCTTTCATTGATTAACAGCGTAACCTCAGGTTATAAGATCAGGAATCACAATGTTTAACAACGTCCTTTCACTACTAAACAATTCGAAGTCCATAATTTTGACTATGAATCAAAGCATGAGAAAAAGGTTAATTAAAAGAAGGGGAGAGAATTGAGAGAAAGTTACACCGGAACAAAATATAAGTAGGTCGACGAATCTCCAAGATGCATGTTTTATATTGGAGGTCGCAAACTAAAACTAGAAAATATCCTTGTGTTGTACGAGTATCAAGAAAGGATCGATACTGTATACAAATATTATTTTTGATAATAAATTTATATGATAAAAAAAAGAAAGAAAAAGGTATAACATTGAAAAATATTTTTTATTAATAATATGATATTTAGATGGACGGATATATATTTTTAAATTTATTACGGGTTAGTTTATGAAGCTTTAAAATTTGTATTTGTAGAGAAAAAAATTAATCCGTTATTCAATTAAATAGTGA